CCCGGTAACTACGGCCTTGGGCTACACGCGGAAATGCACCGAATGGCGAATAAGGATTACCACTCGAAAGTCTTGCTCGATATTTTTTTTCGTCCGTTTATTCTTGCACGATATTTTTTTGGAGTTCGAATTGCTTGCCCGATATTTTTTGGGGGGATTCTACCCCCCCCCCCCACATCAAAAATCAAATGGTCCGTCCCTAACAGAAGGGAAACTATATTGATACAATAACCAAACAAATCACTGGGTGTAACGATAAATTTTAAACTTTATTCTTGGATTTTACGTGGTGATTGGAATGTCGAATATTCTTACAGCCGATTATTTTGCCGATATCATAATCGGACGATTACCGAGAAAGGTTTTCAAAAGCACGAATTGTTTCTGCTCAGCTCGTAACGCTTAATTAATTATTCAATGAGGGATAACAAACAAATTTCTCATAAGACACCTATAAAGCTATGCGTACGTCGCGAGTGTTTTGTCATCTTGGGATGTCGTAGGCGATGTTATTGTCAGTGATTGCCATCGGGTTAGTTTGTCGTAAGGTGTTTTGTCGTTGTCCGTTTTTCGTAGGGTGCTTAACGTGCTTTGTCGTCAGGGATTTTGTTGTTGGGGGTCAGTTGTTCAAAGCTGGATTATTGGCGTTAACCCTGGGTTTAAATTTAATGTGCTGTTTTGATTTGTGTATTTCTGCACGTGTGTTTATTTCAAAACTTCAGAAAATAACACTTCCGTTGATCCAGACAAGATTTCTGGGAAAAATATTTCCATGTCAGTTACAAACAAGCTGTCAGGAAGATTGCTTTGAACATTTTGTTACTCCAGGAAAAAGCTAACTGACCTTTGAACAATCCCAGCCCCACAGGTGTTTTCTCTCTTTGTGTTTTTTGATTGACTGGTGTTTCTTTGTCGGGTATTTTGTCGTCGTGTGTTTTGTCGTCGGGTGTTTTATTGTCGGATAATTTGTCGTCTAGTCCTTCTTCGTCGGGTGTTTGGCTTCGGCGATTTTGTCGGTAGTAATTTTGTCTTCAATCAATCAACCAACTTTATTAATGAGGGTAAACGCATGACAGTGAAACTGATAAACCAGCGGCCCTATTTAATTATATAGTGATGAACAGTGTAAAAAAATCTCAAAAGCATAGCCCTTTTACGTAAAGCTAAAGATTTTGCTTCACAAGAAGAATTAGTCACAATTTATAACTCATTAGTCTTACCACATTTTAACTATTGCTCTACTATTTGGAATGATAATAACAAATCTCATATCGATAAATTATGGAAATTACGAAAGAAAGCTGCACGGGTTATAACTAGTTCTGACTGCACTATTAGATCATCCCAAGTTTTTGAAACCCTTCAATGGGCAATAAAAAATCTCATGGACAAATGAGATCTAACAATGATGTTTAAAGTTCTAAAAAACATGGCACTTAATTACTTAACAATGTTTCGTAAATGTGACAATTCTAATTATTCATTACGGAAGCAACAACTTCCTAAGCCAAAAACAGATTTTTTAAAAAGAAGCTTCTCCTACCGTAGGTCTGTCGCTTGGAATGGTCTGCCCTCTGAACTTTTACGAGTGGTAGACGAACCTCGATCTATTTCTTCTTTTCGTAGCTTGATTAATAATTATTATAATACCTTGTAATAGCTGGTATATGTTGTAATATTTTAACTACTTATAAATGTTGTAATTCTTTTTAAACACACGGCCCTTTGAAAATCACACAAGTGAAAGGCTACCGTGTTTAAATATCTTTAAATAATAATAATAATAATAATAATAATAATAATAATAATAATAATAATAATAATAATAATAATAATAATAATAATAATAATAATAATAATAATAATAATAATAATAATAATAATAATAATAATAATAATTATAATAATAATAATGGAAACTTTATTGTAATCCTATACATTAAAATACATATAAATTTGATAGTATATATAACCTGATAAAACTAACTCATATGTTTCTCTCCAATGTAAACATAGGGCAGTCCACAGAGATTACAGACATCGCTATAGTAGTAGATCCTTAGGATTAATAAAACTTTAAGATAGGCGGAGATGTCCATTGTTTGTTACGACGTACATATATATAAAATGAGGCACGCATAGCTACTTCCATACACTTTTCAATCATTCTCTTATAGTTAATGTTTGTATTTTTAAAGACACTGTATAAGTCATCTATATGTTTTGTTACTAATCCAAGTGTTGTAAATTCAACGAAAATCTTTCTCCAGTAACGAAACCTTTTCTTGCAATCATTTTGAATATCCCTATATTTGCTGATCTTTAGGTTCCTGCTCTTTTCAGAGTTTGTTTCAAAGCAACACGTCAATTCCAAAATGAAGATTCTGTCATCTTTTATTAGTACAATGTCTGGGCGGAATGAATGGAAGAATTCGTTAAGATTGTCAAAATTGTCTAGATCAGCATAGATTCGAAATCCGTATTTCCTTAGTTGAGATACATAGTGAAGCAAAGTGTAAAGAATTGAGTCATGTCGCCAAGTGTATCGACCTTCATCTGCCGAAACCGGACAGGCAGAAAGCATGTGAAGTTGTGTTTGTATGTTTGTTTGAGTAGCACAATTCACAAGATCGGTTATCACTTTTTCCCCATCGATATAGATTTGAATTATTCGGCAGAGAATATATCAAGGCTCGTCTCGCAAACACGAATATATTCTTTGGCATTTGGCGGCAGATGTTGTCCCACATTGTTATATGCTTAGGAGATGCTACCTGTCTAGCATGTTTCATGATCGTATTCTGTTCCTTAAGAGTCGAGAGATGTTCCACCACGGTATTTTCGATTTGTTGCTTAAGAGCTGATCTAGGATTGTCGTTGTTATAAATCAAGCAATCAGTTTGCACATTATTGAACTTGGTAAGATTGAACAGGCATCTCATATCATTGTTGATGGATTTAGAAAGAATTTTTCTAATAGACAGCTTACAGTATCTGTAAACATCAGAAGCCAGTTGGAGACCGACACCTAATTTGCTGCTAGCTAATTTCAGATGCGTCATGTTTGCACCTTTATGGAAATGTAGCCAACGCTTGATATAAGAGATGATCTTGTTATCTAAGTGCTGTTCCACCCAAGTTTGTGAAAGCCTGTAGATTGATAAACGCCATCGCAGTTTACTGTAGACGTACTTCGTGATAATCAGAATTTTATTTCTAGGGTGCAAAGGAAGCCTGTTAATTTTCTCTAAATATTCCAAAAGATCATATTCTAGTTCCTGTTCGATTACGACCGTGTCCATTTTATAATTGAATTGCTTTCCTAGATATTGGAATGATTCGTTTATCTCAACCTGAGGAATCATCTGATTATTTACTTTGAGATAAGGCTTAAATGGCGTAGCCTTTTTCCCGTTGTGCTTGATTCCAAATGTAGAGCATTTATTAACTCTAACCTGGAAGCCTGCCCAACGGCACCATTTAGTGAATACGTCGAGGAGAGCTTGGTTATCTTCTTCAGATGTTGTGACTAGTGCAGTGTCGTCTGCAAACTGGAACCAGTGTCTGGGGCGTAGGTATTCACAATATGAATAGCCAATACATTGTACACGTTCATCTTCTATACATTTGATGAGGGTATTAACGCACATATTAAATAAAAGGGGAGAAAGGCAGTCACCTTGAAGAACTCCTTTACCAACTAAAATTGGGTTTGTAATAAAGCTTTCTGTGCCTACTGAGATGGTGTAGTTATCATACAGGTTTTTGATAAGCTCTGTTACAGTTGTCGGAACATGGTGGTGTTCTAGTACAGTTGAAAGGAGTTGATGGTCAACTTCACCAAACGCGTTTTTTAAATCGAGTAGAGTGACTATCAAATGCCTTTTATTATTGCGCGCATGGTTTATAATGTGAGTTAACAGTTCGGTGTGTTCTATCGTACCAGACACCTCTTCCCAGAAACCTTTTTGAATTTTGGTTTCTATATATTTGTTATCCATCAGAAATGAGTAGATTCTATTGCGAATTATTGATGTGAACACCTTGCCAAAAAATAATAATAATAATAATAATAATAATAATAATAATAATAATAATGGAAACTTTATTTATTGATTATTAAGATATATACAACTACAATGATAAACCTTGCTTTACAGGTAGTTTATCAATGTCTACTTGAATTGATACTATATATTTATTGTACAATAATTATTTTAAGAAGGATTATATTAACATTAATTTTGGGTTATCCCACATCTTGTTTCGTTTACAAAATACATAATATGATGTTCGTATGCATATGTTCACGATAATAATAATAATAATAATAATAATAATAATAATAATAATAATAATAATAATAATAATAATAATAATAATAATAATAATAATAATAATAATAATAATAATAATAATAATAATAATAATAATAATAATAATAATAATAATGGTTCTGAAGGCTGTTATTGCTGGAGTGGTTGAGGAAGATGAGCATCCGATACCAAAAAATACTCCTTATGGCAAAGCGCAACATAAAGCCTCTGACAGTTAAGTCCAGCTCCTGGCCTTCACATGGCAGAACTGTTTGGAACTAACAGGAGAAGGGGCGAGTAATTGGCGCCTTTAAATAACCAATGCTTCGGGTAGGTGGAGCTCGTCAACCTTGGATGGTAGTTCACCTAGGAGAAGGAAACTCTGATTTTAAACCAGGGCATATGAGGCTCTTCAGCCTTGGCTGGCAACTCATATAGTGGTAGTTCCACGACGAGATCAACTCGTAACTCAAAATGTCAATCGTGTCGATGAGTGAATGGTCATGTGGTCGCTAACGATGGCTGATAGGAAGTAGCGACATCTGTCAATAATAGCTTTATCCTGAGAGTCGGGCAACACAGGATGGACTTACAACCCGTACACATTACATGAGCCTCATATATATGGGTGAAAAATTATGAACACTACTAATGTAGAAGACAACGACGTAAATGAGACTGGAACGACTAGTGAAGGTCCCTCGTCCAGCAGGTGTCCTGTGGATCAGCAGCACAGGCCCAGTCGTCATGCTACTGCTGAAGCTATAAGATTGAAATGGACGAAAGAAATCAATGTTGTAATAATGGAGTGCTTTTATTTAAGTAAGCCGTTTAGCGAAAATGGAAAACCTCAACGAGGATACCGACAGCGAATGCATAGGATCTGGTATGAGAGAGGAGTGTTTCCCGCAAAAGAACAAAGAATTTGTGATCAAGCTTGAGCAATAAGGAAGAACGGTTGTTAACAGACATTGAACTGGAGAGTATAAAACAAAGAGTATTGAGTGAGGAAATAAATCATGGAGAAAGTGACTTGGAAAGAGAAGAAGAAGTGGGATGTGATATGACCATGAATGGAGAAATGAGAAATGAGAAATGAAAATGAGGAGACAGCAAGTGGAAGGAATGTACAATATCGGGAAGATACACATACAACAGAGCAATCTGAGGATAGAGCAGAAGAATGTATTAGAGTTGAAGGATATGGAGAGCTAAGTAAGGACGAGAAAGAGATTGTTGATAGGATAATCGAGATCATGAAAGGTGAAGAAGATTATAAAGTATTCACATTTAAGAAGGTGGATAGATGCAAAATAAATGAAATTACAGCAAAAGTGAATAAGCTAGTAGCACGAATACGAACAGATAATATAACTGACACAAACAAATTATTGAAAGCAGTACGAAGTGTAGTGGCAGAGAAAATTGGACTGAAGGAAGTGATTGAACAAACTAAACAGAAGGAGCCATGGTGGAAAAGAAGACTAGATATGGATATAAAACGGCTTAGGAAAGATATTAACATACTAGAAAGGAAGAAAAGGGGAGAAATCAGAAAGGAAGGTAAATATAAAAGAGGTATGACCAGAGGGTGAAACAATATAGACAGAATAGAATGTTTCAGAGTGACCAAAAAAGGTTTTATGTGGAAATAAACAATGGTCAGGAAAGTAAAGTTGATGAAGTGATACCAGATGCGGATGAAAGTATATATAAAGTTCTGGAGCGAAATATGGGACAATGGAATTGAACATAATAAGGATTCTGAATGGCTACATGAAATGAAACAGGGAATCGGATATTTGAACCAAAACGATTTGAAGATAAATGAGGAAGATATTACAAAGCAGTGTAAGAAGATCCCCAATTGGAAAGCGCCAGGACTAGATGGAGTACAGGGTTATTGGATAAAGAAAATTACTTCTTGTCATCAAAGGATTGCAGAACAGTTAGATGAAATTTTAAATGGTAAGGCTGAACTACCTCAATGGATCACATATGGTAGGACAGTGTTGTGCTTAAAAGACCCATCAAGGGGTAATGCAGTTGATAACTTTCGACCCATATCTTGCTTACCATTGATGTGGAAATTGATGACAGGTGTGATTGCCGAAAGTATGTACATTTTTCTGGAGATGAATGATGTACTACCGAATGAACAAAAAGGATGTAGAAGAAAGACTAGAGGAACAAAAAACCAATTGTTAATTGACAAGTTAGTTTTAAGGGATTGTAAAAGAAGACATACAAATTTATCGATGGCCTGGATAGACTATCGCAAGGCATATGATATGGTACCTCATTCTTGGATAGTGGAATGTATGAGTATGTTCAAAATCGCAGCAAATGTGAGAACGTTTGTGGAAAGTAGTATGGAGAACTGGAAAACGGAGTTAACATCTTCGGGAGAAAGTCTAGGAAATGTGAATATAAGACGAGGTATTTTTCAAGGAGATAGTTTATTTCCATTGATATTTGAGATGTGCATGATACCATTAAGCCTGATACTGAGAAAGGAAAAGGTAGGGTATGAATTTCGCGGAAAAGAACTCAAAATCAAACATCTTCTATTCATGGATGATCTGAAGTTGTTTGGAAAGAACAAGGAACAAATAGACTCACTGGTGAAAACTGTCCATATTGTTAGCAAAGACATTGGAATGGAATTTGGGATAAAGAAATGTGGAATGCTTGTAATGAAAAGAGGAAAGATTGTGGAATGTAATGGAATACAGCTACCTGATGAGGAAACAATAAAGTCCGTAAAAGAAGATGGATATAAATATCTTGGTATACTGGAATTAGATAAAGTTATGGAGGGTGAAATGAAGAGAAAGTTTGTAAAGGATACGGGAGGAGATTAAGACTGGTGCTGAAATCAAAACTGAATGGCAGAAACAAAATCATGGCGATGAATACTTGGGCTGTTGCGCTGCTGAGGTACGGAGCTGGTGTTTTGAAATGGACAAAAGATGAAATTGCTGCAATGGATCGCAAAAAAACGTAAACTGATGACACTGTATGGTGCTCTTCACCCAAGAAGCGACATTCATCGATTATATTTACCGAGAGAAAAGGGCGGAAGGGGGTTGATCAGTTGTGAAGGATGCATTCGTACAGAGGAGAACAGTTTGGGATGGTATGTAAAGAACAGTGTGGAACCACTTTTACAACAAGTTGCAAAGACAGGTGTGATTGAAACGGAAAGATGCGAAACAAAAGAAAATTTTAAGAAGAAAGCAGTAGAGGAGCTAGAGAAAGCCTGGATTGACAAGAAAATGTATGGACAATATAACAGAGATTTAGGTAAAGAAGTGGATAGGGAGAAGACATGGTGGTGGCTGAAGAAAGGAGACTTGAAACCTGAGACTGAAGCACTTCTTTGTGCTGCACAAGAACAAGCTCTAAGGACAAATTATGTAAAGTTTCACATAGATAGAACTGTTGAGTCTCCACTCTGTAGACTTTGTGGGGAAAAGGGAGAGCATATAACACACTTGATAAGTGAATGCAAGAAGCTAGCACAAAAAGAATACAAACGAAGACATGACAATGTGGCTCGCATAGCCAGCATAAGAACAAAACTGTGAAAAACATGCAATAATAATAATAATAATAAATACAAAATTTGAAGTCGTATTTTCTAATTTTCTTATATTTTAATATAGCCTTCATAAAGACAAATATTCCTCACATACGATCTGTTGCAAACAGAAGTCACCATGAAAACGATAAGAATATTTCTAAACTGTTACAATCAAATGCAGTAGGTGATATATTTACTTACAAAGACCCACCAATGGCAGGAACTGGTTCTTATGATGATGAAATGCGTCGCTATAACTTATTCATGTCAAGTCAAGGAGTCATTTGTCAAAAGATCCGCCATTTTGGAGGAATATACATGAAGGACAAAAATCCTCCAGAATTTGATCCTGACGGATCTTGGTATCTATGTCTTGATCCGGAGGTTTCTCTCAGGCCGGGATCGTGTATTGTTTATTCCATAGGGTACAGTACCTTTTTATATAGTTTTAATTATTCTGTTTCTGGTGTTGTGCACTCAGAATGAGCCTATATGTTTGTGACGTTGTCTCTTGATTGTCGGTCCACACCAGGCAAGCTGAAAAGTTTGTCTGACCGCGGTGGGAATCGAACCTGCGACCTTTGGTTTGCTAGTCCAATGCTGAATGCTCTGCCAACTGAGCTACGAGGTCATGTTGGTAGTTTTCTTGTAGGTAGTGATATTTCGGAACTCAGCTAGCTAGGTCCTTCGATATATCAGTGTATTTTTATTATCTTGAATTTTTCTGTTTCTGGTGAACTCGAAAGAACTGGACTCATAGTAGAGCATTGGACTTGAAAAAGGTCACGGGTTCGACTCCCAATGCGTTATGCGGTCAAGCAAACTATTCAGCTTGCCCGGTCTGGACACACTCAGAGACAACATCACAAACATAGTTTTTATTAAATATACAAAAGTTCACATCAGAAACTATAAGATCTGGTAAAATGGAAAAGAAATAGACATAATTTCCAGCTTCAAATTATTCAATGTCTCATGGGATTTTTTAAAATTTGTCATGTATAACCGTATATTATGAAAACGATACAGAAACAGAAAAGAACTTAACCAAGTGATGAATTGTTTTGCTTCCAGCCAGATCAGCTAGTATCTTACATATCAGTAGTAGTTTACACTTAATAGAATCGAGTCTAAAGCACGGAAGGTTCGATTCCTGCAATAAGTTTTTTCATCTAATGGTTTAAAGCACATCATGAAACTGATGAAAGGCGGAGAGTTGGGGACTGTCAAAGGGTATATATATTTCTTCAATTTAAACTTGTGTTTTTAAAAATAATACCTGAAGTTTGGTAATATGTAACTAATAAGACTAATAAACATTTTTTGCATTGATCAATGATCATCATTGTATATAATGCCGGTAAAGTCATGTTTCTGAGTTATCGAAATAATTTTTAGGTCTTTTGAAACTTCAGGACGGGCTACATTTCTGGCGTTTACTGAATCGAATTTGCAAAAGGATTCCATACAAATCACCTGTATTTTAAATTTCGGTTATGTGGCGGTTTTTAAGTTTTTAACTAAACCATGCATGTTACGTTCTTTTAACAACGATTACTCAAATCTTTAATTTTACCTGAAAATGTCAAAAGTTTACCCTGAATGTCACTGCATGGAGTTTCTAATCTTTCAGAGGTGTGGAGGTCACACACCCCACAGCCCCATCCCTTCCCCGCTTGCTACATCCCTGACAGTAACTAATGTTCACTACTGTGAACACGATTTATTTTTCTACTCAATGGACTCAAAATGGACCGGACAATTCTGATCTTTCAGAGCCGTGGAGGTCACAGCCCATCCCTGCCGCGCTTGTAACATCCCTGACAGTAACTAATGTTCACCACTGTGAACACGATTTATTTTTCTACTCAGTGCAAGGCCGTCAGAAGAAAATCAATATTGAGGGGGGGGGGGAGGCCTCAAGAATAAATCTGAATTGCTTTCGCACTTTTCAAGTTTTTTGTGTGTTTTGCTTATACAAATCGTAATTATAGCCCCCCCTCTTCCGACGGCCTTTCAATAGACTAAAAAAATATTTTATTTGTCTTACAGGATAAATGATGAATGGTCATTTGATGACAGTATTGCAAACTATGGTTGTCGGGTTTATGCATTTGATCCTACAATGAGCAAAGAAACCCATCTTCGTTCACCATTTATACAGTTCTTTAAAGTCGGCTTGGCAGATTTTGATTCGGAAGGAACTCCAGGGGAATCTGGAAAGGCTGCATGGAGAACTAGAACATTGAAATCCATTATCACAGAACTGCGTCATAACAAGGCAAGTGCTGATTTTTTTGTGAGAGCTAATAATATTCCACAGCCAACATGTCTGGGGGTGGAAGAGGAAAATTGAATAATGAATATTGAATACTGATTTTTAGAATAGTTTGAATATGAACATTTTCCTAAATATTTGAAACAAAATTGGAATAAATATTTGCTCCTCCCGTTGACCAGGATTACAGAAAAGATATTCCGCCCCTATCCCGAGCATGTCACACATGTCATGCACATGACGATATATATTCACGATGAAAAATTGAATACTTCGTGAGCTAGATTTGACCCACAACATAAAGTAATTATATAGTATTTATTTCCACCATGCCGTATAAACATAGAATGAAGTTATCAAGGTCAAGCAGTGCATCCGGCGCGAAATTAGCCGTCACGATTGGTCAGGTATTTCGCAGAGGTCAGCATTTCGCTTGCCACTGGGAACAAAAACCGAACATTCAACAACCTGTATGTCAACAACAATTTGAAGGACAACAAATTAAAAAAAACAAAAAAATTAAACAACAACAACAACAACAAGAAAACTGAGAAGAGGAGCAGCAATAAATTAATAACAACAACAGCAACAGCAACAGCAACAGCAACAGCAACAGCAACAGCAACAGCAACAGCAACAACAACAACAACAACAACAACAACAACAACAACAACAACAACAACAACAACAACAACAACAACAACAACAACAACAACAACAACAACAACAACAACAATAACAACAAAAACAACAACAACAACAACAACAACAAGAAAAACAATAATGACAACACCAACATCACAACACCAACAACAATATTTTTGCGTATAAAACTGCATGAATGTTCAAAATAAATAGCTTTTTATGAAAAACATCTCTATTGTAGAAATTAGTGGATGTTCTGAAGATGGATATTGAATGGGACGAGTGGAAATGTCTTCCACAAATGTTGTCTGATGGAACATTAAAAAAATATGTAAAACAACTTGATGTCGAGTTTCATGTTGTAGATCGCACTCCGTTTGGTATTCGTCGGTATTATGGTATAGCCATGTGGCTCGATAGACAAGGATTTAAAATTGCCAATATGCATAGGAACATGTATTGTAGGGAATGTTATGAAACTACTTTTATCAATACAAATCTTATTAACCTACCCCTTCGGTGATGGTATTTTATATATCTGTATCTAGACATTGTGAAGACTATATATATATAGTAAATTACTATGGTGTTTATAAATTAGAAATAAAAAATATGATATATTCTAATCTTGTAAATGAGCTAGAATATAGAATCACTTGTATTTTATTAATATTGTGTTAATTATAAAATGTTATAGCTAAATCAGTAGCTGATTTTTTCACTTTTCGTTACAGCTTTTCATTACAGCTAGCTACCAGTTTCTTCAATTATATTAATTTAGTGTACTATACGAGTTATACGATATATTGCAGGATTTAACACATTGAGCACCAAAGCTCTCCCCTTGGCAAGTAAATCATCTGGCATTAGACAGCATGGCCGCCATGGGTAAGCCCCGGCGAAAATTTGTTGAATTATTCATGAAAAATCCATGAATTCTGTTCATGAACTTCCATCAAAAGTACATGAACTCTTCATGAATGTGCATGAACGTTAAATGGCACAGTTCATGAAAGTAACAGTTCATGAACAGTTCATGCACTAATGTTCATGCATTTTGAAGAGCAAATCATGAGCTATATTCATGAACTTTTCATGAGCAAATCATGAGCTATATTCATGAACTTTTCATGAATTTTCTCATGAACATTAAATGGCACAGTTCTTGTAATCATGAACATTTCATGAATCATTCACGAATAATTCATGAATAATTCATGGTAGCGTTTCATGAATTCCTCATGAATTTTCATTTATCATGTTCAACACTCGAAATAAATCTGGTATTTCCGCGCACCCATGTATTATTCTCTATTTAATTAATTAAGTGGAAATGTCATCCAATAAGAAGCGCCTATTTGAGAGTTAATCACTATTTAACTACAAAATAGTGATTAAAAAAGTGATTAATTAAGAGTTTTATACAACCGGCCCCAGCATGATTGCACGACGGCGAAATTCTTCGCGAGAAATTGTGTCTGCGAAATATGGATGGCTGCGCATAAGGCATAAGCGACTCTATTGAATTTGGTTACTTTATTCGCTTTCCCAGTGAGTAGAACTGACTTCTATTCACTGACGAAGCGAATTTTTTTTCTTGGTACGCCTAATTTATCTTTACTGCGCATGCACCTAATTCATTTCGAGCGAAATTTTTCGCATTTCGCCGAAGAAAGCGCCCGCAGAATCAGACAGAATCAGTAGCTGTTTATTTTTAACAAGAGTACTTTGCGTTTTTCCAGTTTGAATTATATACCGTGGTACAGTCCAAGTAAAAAATTAGCATCCACCCTTCACATTAGGAAAAAAACTTCACATCCCCCCTTTTAGTCACTAAATTTTGAGATCCCCCTGTGGTATACATAATGACGCAGCCTTAGCGCTAACCTGCCCAATAAACCTTGGTTAAAATTTAACCTGATGTTTTGGTTTGGGTAGATTTCCACTTTTGTTTATTTCAAGTTGGAACAGGGCATTTTTTAAGAATTCGTCAGTGGGGCGGGGGGGAGGGGCATCTACAAAAAGGGACCATACTATACCAAGTGTGGAGAAATGATAGATGGTTGTTGGTAACAAAAAGTTTGGTGTGGTATCGCATTTAATAGTAGGGGGGTCTGGTCGTCTGGGGGTATTCTCCTCCAGAAAAATTTTGTATTTTTCTACCCCTATGACTGCAATTCCTGCATTTTCTGAAACAGATTTTTGGATATACAGCGTTACATTATGCTGTAGATAGACTGAACCTTCAGTGAAGTACTTGCATGGTATGTTTATGTAAATACCACAACTTGGTCACTCAGGGAGCCAGCTTGATAAACTTAGAGGACCCAACTCCCACGAAGCGCTGGTTGGCACAGAGCGGGGAAATTTTGAAAATTTTGTGTCTCTAAATCGTCGGAAATGGCATTTTCAAAGTCTTCTCTACCTCTTTTGTTAGGCCCTTTCATTAATTCTTTCATTATGATTAGTGCATGAGTCTATATAATTTCAAATACTTCTAGTTTCGAAATCAATTGGTTTTTTTTGGTGGGGGGGCCAAAATTATCCCCCTTATAAAACACTGGGTTGGGGGCCCATTTCCCCCTGCTTCCTACGCCCCCTGCGCTCACTAACTTGTCTAGCCAAGCCTTCCAACAACTCAAATCTATAGGGTCTGGGAAATGCAATCCACTGGAAAATGTTTAAAATCTAATAAGGTATTTACAACACAATGTTTAGCATTAAAGTTAAAAGACAGGACATAAGATTCACAAAGCAAATTTCAGTTACTAGAATATCAATCCTCCCATCTTAAATTCCATGTTTTGCTTATATTTTAGAGAAAAGGGACTTTGACTGGGGGGGGGGGCAAAATGGTTGAGTGAGGGGGCCACCATTGGGGCTGGGGGTGGGGCTTTGCCCCCCCAGTTATATAGTTAAAAAATGCCCTGTGCCGAGCTTAATACTGTGTAGGGTAGCAGCCGAGTTGCCATTCGTGGTCCTGTCCGTGGCCCCCGTCTATATGTAATTACAATATATTTATCAATCAGCCAGATTGCTGTGAGGTGGATCACGTGGGAATGGGAAGTTTTGGACTTGCATGTAAACTCGGAAAGTAACTCTCCAAAAGTAACTTTCCGAAGCAAAGAATGCTCATTCTTAGGAAATGATGTCTGGGTTCACAGACTACAGCTAGGTAACTAGACCATTGGCATTACTCTTTATTCCCTTTTGAACGGAGAATAATACGAAAACGTATTCTCATGCTTTTTAGACCTCCAATCAGGATGTCTTTTCAACTCATTTCATACTATAATTTTTTAAGAATTTTTTATTATTTCACTCGTTTATTGTTAGGCAGCGTATGGACTGGTTTATGGACGTTGAGGCGGAAGAATGAAGCAGCCCTATAACAACATTAAAAAGAGAATATATGAAAACTAACACAGGAAGTTATTCCTATTAGAAAGTGTCTGGATTAGAGTGGTTTTTAATATTAGAGATGTTAACATATTAGAAAGCTAGATTGTCGTTGGGAGAGCTCACTTGATTATTCTTTGGAACTTTGATTAAGAACTATATATGCTGTTCAAGGTTCAAGTTTTAAGCTATTATCCATTGGTTATAAACGTCAAAATATTCGGGGTTTTTTTCCATAAAATTATACGATTGTCGAATACAGAACCAAAATATTGAGTGTCTTGGAGTATTAAATGTCGGTTTCCTCGGCTTAATGTTTACTAAGAATATATCACATTCCAGTTTCCTCCTCCTGTACGTAGTCATTTAACTGACTATATATATGATCAGCATTTTCTTCGTCCTCAAGCCTTTCGAGAGCTGTAGATGTCGGCTGTTCATTTTTCACGTCTTGGTAATTGTCACCATCTTCATCAGCATAACGATACGTATCGTCTGAAATATTTCTGCTCTGGGTCTTGTTCTCTACGTTTGCCTTTGATTTGAGACGACGATTTTGACAAATAAAATAGGTAAGAATAAAGACTAAAATAATGAGCAGAATTGCTAATATTATTATTCCAACAAGATAGATTTCAGAACCATCATCATTTTTGTAGTCCGGCGTGCCTGAAAGTTAATTGAAATGACTAAGAATATTAATAATTTAAAATGTTTCATAGCTAGTGAATACATACGTCAAATTATTTCGCTCGCTACTCTTGTTTAAGTAAATGTACGTAATCCTGGAACAAAGTTATCAGGGATTCCATTCATTTATTTTAACCAGAGGCAGAGCAGCGAGCAAATCATGTTAGCATATTAGCATATATGCTTCATATTATTCGTGGATAGCATGAGCTCGGGCATACAACTCGAAGAAAAAACAATTTCCAAATTTTGCAACTTTTTGTTTAGATGTAAACATATAAAAGTGAAATAAAAATCATCATTATACCTGAAGTAGGATTATCTATACGGGTATCTTTTAGGACCGACATTGTATACGTGGTGCTTTCAAAGCGATCTCGGATATGACAAGTATATTTTCCGAAACTTGTTTGATCTTTCACTGTTACAACAAGTAAAGAACTGCGATGAGGCTTGTCCTTTTCCATAAAACTTTCCAGTAGCTTCTGGTCTTTTTCCCAGTTGAAAATTATTGGAGGTTCACCTTCAGCAGAACACAGTAGGTTGACAAGATCACCTTCCTTTGCCTTTATGTCACCGCTGGACGTCTTTATCAATATACTAGGACTACCTGGAAAACAGAAACAAGAAATATTTTAATGTTCTGACAAGCAACATATTTTCACTGTATTAATGCACAACCATCATTTTTCTATGAATAATGATACTTTCATCATGACTAACCGTGCATTCTGCATGTATTATGTAACTTTACTATCCAACTTTACGTATCTAACTAGTCAGCTAGAAAACAAGTACCTGCATATTCGCTTGTCTTTGAAGCAGGACTCCAGTCTGTGGAGTAATATTCAACCTGTAGCAAAGAAGATGACAGTATGTTTACCTCTTAAGTGATTCACAAATAGATGATGTCATAACGTGATGACCGTATATATTTGATGTGGACTACCTTTTGTTCCTGCTATGTTTGGCATCTGTGTGAAAATGCTTTTGAAACTTCCCACTTTCTTTTGTTGAGGAAAAGTTAGACAAGAAAATCTTAAATTCTAAAGTATGATAACAAAGAAATACCATACCTTGTCACTGAGTACAATCCTTTGAAAAATACTATAACTACTGCCAGGCTCCAACGGACCATTATAATAATTGCTTGAGGTTGACCTTCGTCTTCGTGATGTGGGATCACTTGTATTTCTACCATCACCAAGTACAAACATTTTTCCATCAACACCACTGGATGTAACAACTGCAGCGATATAAGGTTTCGAATTGGTTGATTTTCTTGCCTCGGCATACGTCACGAACTCACTGTTTTCGTAACTGCCAGATGATGTAGGTTCTTTGCCGTCTTTTAATTTCAAAGCCACCATGTAGAAATAACTAAAGACAGAAACAATACTTTCATTACAGTGTGAACGTTGCAGTTAACTGTATACCGACAATATTCCAAAGATGTGGGTCAGATCTACCAGTTTTTAATTATTTTCTGGTAATTTATACTCAAACAAACACTGCAGCTTATTGTATAATCGGCGTAGATATTTATACCAGCAGAAAGACAATAAACTTACGCAATCGTTTTTGATGGTATTTGCAATGAAAATGTAAGTGTACTTGATGTTTCAGCGATGGCTTTCTCTGCCGCCTCTGTTGGAAAATATGGAAATATATATATATATTATTAATTTTAGATGTTTTCGGAAGTGAGGATCTGTGTAGGGTTATCATGCAGGTTGTATCTAAGCATGCACATATGCAGAGTAGGGAAGTTTGGTTAGGAACAGACACTTCCCAAATTTCCATAAGTGCACATCCACTTAAACTCGAGGCTGACAATGTGATCGTAATCATCGTATTTTAAATATTAGTTAAGTCATTGGCTGCCTCGATCCTGTGCAACTGTGCAAATCCAGGAAGTGTCTATTCTATAGTAGAGCTTATTAAAGAAACTGTACTACTGGCAAGCGTAAAAGCAGCGGAACATGAAATTCTGAACAGGAATTCTGGTAACCACAGACAAAATTTAAATATAAGTGTTGTACTTACTTTCATTCGTAAAAAATCCTCTACTTTCACTGTAGTTTCCATGACCAACCTTTGTACTTGCAAGAATACGCACGTAATATTTTGTTGACGCTGTCAAATGTCTGGCAACCCATTCTCTTTTATTGGTTGCAAATGTCTGAAAGCAATGGCCATTTTCTGAATGTGAAACACACGCAGTATAACTGATAATGACGCCATTTTGTTTATCTTTCTCAGGTGGATCCCAGGTGAAAGACAATGATGATGCACTTCTTGATGTGGTTTTGATATTCAAAGGAGGACCGCTTGGAACTATAGAGTATAAAATTGTAGCTAAATTCATGTTACCTATGGGGTCGATTTCGAACTATTATTTCTCTAAAAGAAACTTAGAAAACCAGGGGCGGATCTAGGAATTTTCGTACGTTAGTCAAATTTTTTCCGAGTTGCTGCTATCCGGGGAGGGGGGGGGG